GAAAGAGATCACCGCCACCCCCCACCAGGAGGGATAGCCATGCTATAATCCCTTCTGCACTCCTTCTGCACTCTCCTCTCAGGATTTTGGGCATGTTTACAGAAAAGGTTCATGATGAAAAACTACACATCAGGGCTAGCAGGTGGTTTAGTGGCTAAGGTGCTGGACTCCCACATGGCTGACTGTTCAAGCCCCAAACCCAGCAGCTTGAAAATCACACCAGTCATGTGGGTCCAGCCCTAAGCCACTGTGTCTGTTGAAGCTGATAGGAATAAGGAGGAGAAAGAGAAGGCTAAGTGTCAGTTTTACTGCTTAAATGATAGCTGTGCTTCAAGGTTACTAAAAGCAAAAAAGAGCACATTCCAGCTGAAAGTATGAAATAATTTATGTTAGTAAATTGCAGCAACATTAAATCATACATAAATCCAACTTTTTTAGAGGTTTTTGCTATAGGGCATGTGCACTCACCAGAAAGAGAGAGAGAGAGACAGAAAGTGAGAAATCACCCCCTGGGTGGATGGCCATACCGCAATCCCTTCTCTTCCATTCTCCTCCCGGGATCTTGGCATACACGCACAGGTGCCTGGCGTGAGTTTAAGCCACCAGGTCCAGGACTCGAACCACCGTTGACTACATGGGAGTCCAGCGACACAGCCATTATGCTAGCTGCTGGTCCCACATAAATCCAGTTTTTAAACAGCCAATATACAGCTCTAACACGGGGGCAGATGCTAAGCAGTGACCATGATTATGACACAGCAGACCACTTCGATCCAGAGTCGGTGTGCCCCAGGCCACGTGCTAAAGGCGAAAACCCAAAATCACATCAATCACAGAGATTAGGAAGCAGAAAGAAATCCCAACTCATTAGCCGAGGAACAAACAATAAATTCAATTTTGTAGAAAATGGGGGTGGGTTACAACTGGAAGTGACGGCAATGGCATTCTTCTGAGACAGAAGATAAGACAGTCATGCTTCTATTTCGGTTGTGATGTGAGACCCATTGCAGTATATTCTTCTCTTTCCTCAGGTTTGGCCAGAGCCAGACTTTGCAGACAGATTACATCACGTACATGGATGAGCTGGGCTCCTTCATTGGGGCCAAACCCAGCGTGCTGTGGCTCCTCCTCACTGACCCCCGACTGGCCATGGAGGTGTACTTTGGCCCTTGCAGCCCATACCAGTTTCGACTGATGGGACCAGGGAAGTGGGATGGAGCCAGAAATGCCATCTTGACCCAGTGGGACCGGACAGTGAAGCCCACCAGGACCAGGACTGTCGGTGAAGCTCGGCACCCTTACCCCCTTTACAATGTGCTTAAAATGCTTTCATTCTCTGTGTTACTGCTGGCTGCTTTGCTTACATTTTTTTTTTAATGAGAAAGTCTTTTGGGTCTAATGGACAACCTAGAAGTTTAATTGCATGACACCCACTTGCCCAGCCCCCACACACATACACAATGCTTGAACTCTTCTTACCCATCAGATGGTATTAAAATGAGTCCTGCCTGGCCCATTTGAATCAACGTAAAAATAAAATGAAAAACCTCAGCCTCCCTCTTTCTGATGAGAATCTATTCTTTAAAATGCTCTCACATTCTGAGTTGGTTAAGTCTGGGTATGCTCCAGATAGGAAAGAAGACAGGAGGTTGAATAAGCCTGAGTATGATTTTCAGGCTGGGAAGAGTTTAATAAACTTCGCAAGTACAGTATGTCAACCGCTGTGTTTTCTACAACATTAACTGAAGATAATGAATCGATACAAAAAGATTGCTTAGACATGAATTGCCAAAGCTCTCTTCCAAAGAAACACATAACCTGAACAGACTTATATTTATTAAGGAACTTGAATTTGTAGTTTAAAAACTTTCCCAAAACCAGCAGATGGCTTGGTGGTTAAAGGCGTTGGACTCCTACATGGTTGACTACAGTTCAAGTCCTGGACCTGGTGGCTTGCTTTCTCATTTTCCCTCTCTTGTTCTCTCTGTCTTTCTCTGATCTAATTGGAAAACAACAATAATAAAGTTAAATAAGGTAATTCTTTAAGAAATTCATCACTTTCCCACAAAGAACTTCACGCTAAGAGGGCTTCATTGGTGAATTTTGCCAAACAATTAACAAAGCAATAATAGCAATTATATGCAACCTATTCCAAAAAATTAAAGAGAACAGAAGACTCCCCAATTCATTGTATGAGGTTGCTATTTTAGTGACAAAAAAGACAAAACTAGTATAAAAAATAAACTTTAGATTATTAACCTTAATGAACATGTAAGGATTCTTAATGAATATTAACATAATTCAACAGTATCTAAATTAGAAAACATATTATCCATGTAGGATTTATTCCAGGAATGCAATGTTGGTTTAATAATTAATATAAGTCACAGGACCAGCAGTTACTGTAATGGCTATATCGCTGGAATCCCATGTAGTCGACTGTGGTTCGAGTCCTGGACCCAGTGGCTTAAACTCATGCCGGGCGCTTGTGCATGCGTGGCCAAGATCACTAGAGGAGAAAGGAGTAGAAGGGACTGCAGTGTGGCCATCCCTCCTGGGGGGTGATTTCTCGCTTTCTGTCTCTCTGTCTCTCTCTGTCTTTCTGGTGAGCACATGTGCCCTATAGCAAAGAACTCTAAAAAAATAAATAAAAAATAATTAATGTAAGTCACCATATTTATGAACTAAAAATGAAAAAGCATATGATGATCTCAAAGATGCAGAAAAAGCATTGACAAAAGCCAACATTTGTTCCTGACGACTACTCAGCAAACTAGGGATAGAAGGAAACTCCCTCAATGGATTAAGGGCGTCTGTAAAAAGCCTACATCTGTGAAGCTGGGGTTGACATACTTCATTCTCCATTCCTGGCCATTTCACCCATGGTTGGACTACTAGAAGTCAGGGTGTTTTACCTTTGGAGTGGCACCATGAGGGTACAGAGAAGGCCTATCCAGTGCTAAATTTTCCCCATTAAAAGCCATAATAAAAATGATGAAGTTAAAAAAGAAAAAGCAGTATTCTGAATTTTAGAAGTATTTAATTTTTAAGAAAGTTTAGAAAGTTAAGAAAGTTTAGTATATAAACACTTCCAAAACAACAGGTTTTACACAACATACAAAATCCTATGTATAAGAGTAAACATCTACTTGGGCCATTTGTCAAACTTAGTTTTTTTTGTTTTTTGTTTTTTTTTTTGGAGAGGTTTTTTGCTATAGGGCACGTGCGCTCGCCAGACAGAGAGAGACATAGAGACAAAAAGCGAGAAATCACCCCCCAGTGGGGATGGTCATGCCGCAATCCCTTCTCCTCCATTCTCCTCTCGGGATCTTGGGCACGCACGCACACACGCCCAGCGTGAGTTTTAAGCCACCGGGTCCGGGACACGAACCGCGGTCGACTACGTGGGAGTCCAGCGACATAGCCATTACGCTAACTGCTGGTTCCCTGTCAAACTTAGTTTTGAAATCTGTTTCTCATGTACCCTTTTGTGTCAGGAAGGACATTCACTATCTGACTCCCTCTTTTCCTAAAAGTCTGGTGTTAGCCTACTTTGAAAAAAGGAAGAAGAAACTAGAAGATGTCAGTTGGTTCTCCTAAGTCTCAGTTTCTATTTTGCTTCCACGTCATGTTACCGTGTACTAGAGAAGCAATCTCAGAAAAAAATAAAGAAATAATCAGCTGTAGGGCTTGCAAAATAAAGGGAGAAATTCTTTCCCAAACACTTTTTCTGTTTAAATATTTAAATTAAATGTAAATGTGCAAGGCCAAGCCCAGGCACTGTCCAAAAACCCAAAGTGAAGGCAAACTACACATTACTCAACGCTTGCCGATGACAGCTCTGCCTTCGGGGGTCCTCTCTGGCTGCCCCAGCACAAGCACTGGCCACTGTTGGCAAGGGCACATCTTCCTCTTTCCCCACAGCTTTTCTGACTGAAGTTGATATCTGCCTGGTCTCTGAATGTCAACGCTGCCTAATTAGATCACTGCCCAGTAGGTCTCCCCTTGCCCCATCGTAAACTACTTTTATTCTTAGACAACAAGGTTGTCTATGTAGAAATTATCGTGAAATCTAAGAAAGTTACTAGAACAAATGATCACATTTCTATATACTGCTAATAAACAATAAGAGATTTTTAAAAATATTCCTATCATGAGAGGGTATGCTTGTACATGCACATGTTCACGAGACAGACGCCGTGAGCAAGGTCCCATCGCACTTCGATCAGTTTCCTCAAGCCCTCTTCCTATTCAGGACCTCGGGCATGAGTGTGTGCACTCCAGGAATATCTCAGGTCAACTTAAGATCCAGACCCCTGGTCGGCTATGTGACTTCTAGCACTGCACGAATACACGATTATCTGCCCTACTGTGGCTAGTTCAAACATTGACATTTGTTTGCTCTTAAAGGCAAAATGAATATTAAGTTAAAAATAAATAAAGCCACAAGGAAATGATAGCTGAGACTCTCATGCATATATTGCAAATATACATCATCCCCTGAACTGCACTAGCCTAGGCTCATCAACCGCCCTTATTTAAAAGAATACACTACACTTAGAGAGCAGGTATTTAACATGCATAGTTGCAGGGGAGAGAAATAAAGGCACAAGGAGAGAAGAGAAGCCCATTGGCAATTAGGTGGTATAGAAAAAAAATAGAAAAAGGAAGAAAAAATTTAAGGACCTATAAACCAAAAAAGTTGGGAGATTCACAACACTTCCTCCATTACAAAACAGAAAATTGTTAAATATCGGAACAATTTTTTTTTTTTTGAAGGGTTTTTGCTACAGGGCACCATGTCCCACCACCTCGGGCATGAGTGTGTGCACTCCAGGAATATCTCAGGTCAACTTAAGATCCAGACCCCTGGTCGGCTATGTGACTTCTAGCACTGCACGAATACACGATTATCTGCCCTACTGTGGCTAGTTCAAACATTGACATTTGTTTGCTCTTAAAGGCAAAACGAATATTAAGTTAAAAATAAATAAAGCCACAAGGAAATGATAGCTGAGACTCTCATGCATATATTGCAAATATACATCATCCCCTGAACTGCACTAGCCTAGGCTCATCAACCGCCCTTATTTAAAAGAATACACTACACTTAGAGAGCAGGTATTTAACATGCATAGTTGCAGGGGAGAGAAATAAAGACACAAGGAGAGAAGAGAAGCCCATTGGCAATTAGGTGGTATAGAAAAAAAATAGAAAAAGGAAGAAAAAATTTAAGGACCTATAAACCAAAAAAGTTGGGAGATTCACAACACTTCCTCCATTACAAAACAGAAAATTGTTAAATATCAGAACAATTTTTTTTTTTGAAGAGGTTTTTGCTACAGGGCACATGTGCCCGCCAGACAGACAGAGAGAGACAGAGAGACAGAAAGTGAGAAATCACTCCCCAGGGGGATGGTCACGTCACAATCCCTTCTCCTCCATTCTCCTCTTGGGATCTTGGATATGCACGCACACACGCCTGGCGTGAGTTTAAGCCACCTGGTCTGAGACTCGAACCGTGGTCGACTACATGGGAGTCCAGCGACATAGCCATTACGCTAACTGCTGGTCCCAAATATCAGAACATTTCTATTCTTTCAGAAGAGGGCACCATTAAATGAGAAATCAAGTAAAATATCCCAATATCATAAAAATAAAGAAGATAAAGTTATTATATCTAGATACACATTAACAGACAGGTGGATAGAAAAGGGCAGGAAGGAAGGGAGGGAGGGAGAGATTGAAGAAGTGAAGGAGGAAGGGGGGAAAGGTTTCCCAGAGACCCCAGAACTGGGAGTCCTGCTTCCATGTTCAATGGGTGTGGGGACTGCACAGTGACCTCTATGTGCTTAAGACTATGGCATCTGAAATAATGATAAATACCCTTTTCCAGCACATAGTACAAGATAGAAAAGGAAAAGGAAACTTGGAAATTTTAGGGTACTAGTAAACAGTGGGTGTCATCTTTCTCACATGCCTGAAATTCATTACTTTCATGCTCACACTTGATTAGCAGTTCAAGCGGATATAAAAGTATAACCTGTAAATCATGTTACCTTAGTTTTTTGAAGGTTTTACCCCCTTATATTCTGGCTTCAGTATTACTGTTAAAAGTTCATTGTCATTTCTTTTTTTTTTTGGAGAGGCTTTTGCTATAGGGCACATGCGCTCACCAGAAAGCCAGAGACAGAAAGCAAGAAATCACCCCCCAGGGGGGATGGCCACGCCACAATCCCTTCTCCTCCATTCTCCTCTTGGGATCTTGGGCATGCACGCACACACACACAACCGGCGTGAGTTTAAGCCACCAGGTCCGGGACTTGAACCATGGTTGACTACATGGGAGTCCAGCGACATAGCCATTATGCAAACTGCTGGTCCCTCCAAAAGTTCATTGTCATTTCTATTCTCAGTTCTTTATACAAGACTTGTAATCTTCCCTTGATGTCCACAGTACTGGTCCTGGAACCACCCTCACACCCTCAGACCCAAATCTTCAGATGCTCATGTCCTAACATATAACATGGTGTAGCACTTGCATGTAAGTGATGCCCCTCCTCCTGAATATTTTAAATCACTTCTAGATGACTTACAATATCTAATACAACATTAATGGCATGTGAATAATTGTTACACTGTATTGCCTTCTTCATTCGTGTCATTTTTATTGCATTATCTATTCCCCCCAACATTGAGATGCATGGCTGATTAGATCCACAATGCAGAGTCCACAGCTACAGAGAGCTGACTGTATTTTCTTTTCTGGAAGGTCACAGAACCTTCTTTGATCCCTGGAGTTCTGAAATTTCATGGTGAAGTAGTTTGGTTTTGG